ACTTGTATATTGGTTTCTTTTATTTTTTCAATATTTAAAAATTATAAAGCCAGGTCAGGAGAAGTGTGGCGGCGGCCGGAACCAGGCAGGGCTTTCTTACACAGTTGATTGTGTAAATACCAACTCCAGGTCTCTTGTCTGTCTATTCACCATGGGCTTCTTTCTGATATCAGGTGAAAGAATTGAGAAGCGTGCCCTCAGGCCAGGCTTTGAGCCTGATTCTCAGGCCCTCGGTCAAAAGAATCTGTTTTCCCAGATTCCCCCTTCCCTCCAAGAAGGAAGATCTTTCCCTGGAGGGAAATTCAGAAGAAATTAGAAGCTGCAGAAGAAAGACCGGGCAAGTCTCATGGGGAAGCTGAGTCTTGGGAAGCAGCTTTGCTGAGAACGATGAGCACGAGAAAAATGCTTCAGAAAGGCAATAGAAGAGATAACAACACTTCAAGTAAAATGGCGGAAAGAAAAAATGGACCCACAATGGGGATCTAACAAAGAGAACCGAGAGCACAGATGGCTCCAAAACTGGAGGCGTTTGCGGGAGAAGATAAGCCTTGAAGAAGTGCGGAAGAAACCAAAGGGGATCCAAATCCCTTGCTGTGAGACTGAAGGCTGACTAATTGTTCTTGAGAACTGGACTTCTCCCCCATCCCTCCTAATTATCCAAAGGACTGTACTGGGCCAGTGTCAATTTTATTTTTTCCCTCCTTGGACAAATATCTAGAAAGCTTATGTGACTGTATAGGGTAGGAATCCCAGGCTGTAAAGACGTTGTTTTTAGGGTAAAGGGAGAAAACTGAAAATGTTTACTCTTTTCTAAAAAGTGTTGGTCTTCTAATGTAGCTATTTCTTGTTGCATCTTTTCTACTTCCAGTACACTTGATGTACTGGATTAATGGTAATACTGTATTGGCTCTGTGAAAAAAGTATTTGTGAAAAGAGAGTGTTAGTGGCTCTTCTTGAACTGTTAAAGATGCTGATATTTGTTCACTTCAATCCCAATTCTTGTTCCCAGTCTTACCAGATGCTACTGGATTGAGATGGTTAATAAACTGCACGGTGCGTAAAAAAAAAAAAAAAAAAAAAGCCAGTCAGGACCCTAGCACTTTGGAGGTAGAGGCAGGAGGATCCACTGAGACCAGGGTTTAAGACAGCCTGAGCAACATTAGTGAGACCCCATCTCTACAAAATATAAATATATATATATTTATGAAATTAAGCTGGGTGTCGGTGGTGCAACTTAGGCCCAGATACTCACTCAGGAGCTAAGGCAGAGGGTTGCTTGGATCCAGGATTTAAGGGCTACAACGCCTGGCAACAGGATAAGATTTCCGCTCCTGGTCTCAAGTGATCCTCCTGCCTCTACCTCCCAAAGTGCTAGGGTACCTGACTGGCTTTTATATTTTTAAATTATTGAAAAAATTAAAAGAATAACAATATATCAAGTCACATGGAAATTATATAAATTCAAAGTTCAGTGTCTATAAATAAAGTTTTATTGGGACACAGGTATGTGCACACTCATTTATATTGTGTCTTTGGCTGTTTTCACACTACAGTGGCAGAGTTGAATAGCTGCAACAAAGGCTGCAAAGTCTAAAATGTTTTTCCTTAACAGAAACAGTTTTTTGACTTCTGGGCAATCCTAGCTTGAAGCCACTGGCTGTAAGGACACCGCCGGCGCGAGGGCCTGCCCGCCAAGCAGGTTCCGAGAGGCCGTCTGTCAATCCAGGTGGCTTTTCCCCAGGGAAAGGAGACACTAGCAATAATGACAGGAAAGGTGACGCAGTGAGCAGTCGCATTTCTCACAGTAAGACCAACAGCTCCCTGATCCGCCGGTCAGCCTCTCTGCGTCAGCGTGAATGACCCTCGGCTGAGCCTGACCACCTCGGGGGCCACGTCAGCAGGAGTCCTTGGTTACAGGTGTCAGGAACCCAACTTGGACAGACTGAAGGAAATGAGAAATGGTTAAGAGTGCCCTGGCCCGTGTTCTGGAACCCACGCTGGGCGTGCTGGACCTCGGAGCGTGTAGACCCCTTGCTCAGACCTCCTGCGGCCTGGTCTGCCCACTGTCCCGGCGTCTTGGGCACCCACCGCTGTGGCCTTCTCTGGGCTGCGTCTCACACACCATTAGGCCTTGGGAAGACAGGACCTGGCCCGAGTGCAAACATCCTGGAAAAGGTGGGCTCTGACTGGCGCGTTCAGGTGCTCGCCCCCGGCAATGCTCTGCGCCCACCTTCCCACTGACCGAAATGGCTTGTGGCAGCCATGCAGGGGAGGGGAGACACCGGAGGCAGGAGGACTGCAGTGCTGGAAGGAACGTATTTCCGGTGCTTCTCCGGTGTTTTTCCTTTCCCCCCTGCTCAGGCCCTTCTCAGCCCTGAATGCCTTCCCGACCCCTCCCGCCCTCGCCCCCTTACCAGGCCAGCTCTTCTAGTCCTTTAAGGCTGAGAGGGCTGTCACCTCCTCCTGGAAGCCCCTCCTAACCCTGCCCCCGCCCACACCAGTGCCCCTCCTTTGTGCCCCATGGCAGACCTCCCTCACTGACCTGCTCCCTGCCTGCTCCTCCTGGCTCCTGAGGTACCGGAAGACTCTGGCCACGCTTTAGCCTCAGCGGGGACACAAGGAAGTTCAGTAAATGCCTCAGGGATGAATAGATTCTGAGGCCTTGGATGCAGGCAGTGGGGGTGATTTTTCAGAAGAGGATCCCAGGACTTCCAGCATTTTCCACATGGCACAGGTAGCAAGGAGGTTAGGAACCCAAGTTCCAATGCCTTCTCCACCACATACGGTACTAGTTGGACAAGTCACCTAAACCTCCTAAGTTTCCTAACCTTCTCAGTTTCCTCATCTGTAAAATGGGCATACTGCAAATAGCTATATCAAAGGGTTGTTGAGAGGGTTAAATGAGATGCTGCTTAGTACAATTCCTGGGACACTATATATACTGATTATTGTTATTATTACTATTACTATCATCACATGTTCCTTCACTCTCCAGCAGAACTGCCCACTGACCGACCGCAGTGGCTGTACAGAGGCCTCTCCCCAGCCCTTTGAGATCCATAAAACAATCACTAATCCATCAATTAAACAAAGGCTTAGACTTTAGCTTCACTATATTTCTCCTAACAAAGGTAAGCATCAGCCCATATTTTTAAATTTTTGGAAAATATAATAAAGAAAAATGCCAGTCTAACACATTTTGGTATACCTTGTCCAGTCTTTTTTTCTTATGAATGTTAAATGTGGTTCTAATCACACCGCATCTGCCTATTTTCATTCCATTGTCCATCAGAAGCATCAAAGCATGCCTGCTACCTTGTCATAGACGGAGGAAAACACTCTGTTTCTCAAGTTTTCAGGAAAGGATTGCCAAAGGCTAATTTTCAAAAAAAATTACAATGTGCTCAAGATCTCACTAATTTGTTAATTACAAAAGACCTGGCGGCGAGTCACTCAAGTCAGGGATTTCAAGACCAGCCTGGAGAAGAGGCGAGGACCCGTTCTGTACTAAATAAAAAAAAAGTTAATTGCAACTGGAAAATGGGAAAAAAAATAAATAATAAGGGAAAGAAACAAAAGAAAGAAAATACAGTGTGCCTGATGGTCATTCAAGATTGCGGTATTTTCGGAAATATATGTGGTATGTTACGTACATACACCACTGACATGTTTACATCTGGGAGGTTCAACGTGTCATTTACAACGCAACGTTGAACCACGCTTCCACTGAATTGGGCAACCTTTGTTAACTGCCAACCAATGATGTAGCTGATAAGTGACTGGAATGGATTTTGAGGTGAGCTAACGGTGACAGCTCCACCTGGCTTTCCCATCCCTTGGACTCAGCCGCATATGTACGAAGACCAGTACAGAGCAATTGTGGGGTGTCTGGTCAATAGCTTCGGAGCCAGGGCCTCGGCTGGGTGACAGCCAGCACCAACCTTAGGTGAACAAGCCTTCAGATGATTCTAGCCAAGCTAGAGAATCAACTTTTGAATCTTCTGCTGAGGTCTCAGACATTGTTGAGGAGACACAAGCCATCCCTGCTGCACTTTGTCTAAATTCCAGTGCACGGAAACAGCAAGAGATAATAAATGATTATTGTTTTAAGCTATTACGTTTTGAGATAATTTGTTGTGCAGCCATAGTAACTGGTGCATGCAGTTTACATGGAAACAAACAGAGAATCAATATAATTATCATAAGCATTGTTAAAATTTGGATGTAAAAGTCAAAACTAATCTTTGGGGGGAAAAAGACCTATATAGTTTTTAAAAAAAGAGATATGATAACCTGGGCCTCTAGTGGAGAGACATAGAAGTAGAAGATTGAAAAACTTCTCACTTTATATTATAAGGGAGCTAAATATGATAGATTTGTTTAGAATCTGAAGTTAAAGAAACAGGGGTTTAAGAAAATTTTTAAAAATCTTGAAGGTATTAGCAGAATTAAAACAATAGGCTGGGACAGACGTGGTGGCTCAGGCCTGTAATCCTAGCACTCTGGGAGGCCGAGGCGGGTAGATCCTTTGAGCTCAGGAGTTCAAGACCAGCCTGAGCAAGATCGAGACCCCATCTCTACTAAAGACAGAAATAAATTACTTGGACAGCTAAAAATATATAGAAAATATTAGCCAGGCATGGTGGCACATGCCTGTAGCCCCAGCTATTTGAGAGGCTGAGGCAGAAGGAAGGCTTGAGCCCAGGAGTTTGAGGTTGCTGTGAGCTAGGCTGATGCCATGGCACTCTAGCCTGGGCAACAAGGTGAGACTCTGTCTCAAAAACAAAAACTGATAGGCTTTACACTTTCCAAATCACAGAAGATAAAAACAGAATGACCTGGATGCGGTGGCCCACACCTATAGTCCCAGGTACTTAGGAGTCTGAGGTGGAAGGAAAGCTTAAGCCGAGGAATTTGAGTTCAGCTTGGGCAACATGGCAAGACTCCATCTCTTAAAAAGAAAAAAAATTATCATGCATATCACAAAAGGTAAAAAAACATAAAAAAGAGAAAGCATAGATCAAGATAAAAGAAATAAAAAAGAAATAAAAGAGATAAGATTGAACATGCCAAAATAAATATAAATGTATTATACTCCCCTACTAAAAGCCAAAGGCCCTCCAACTGGGTTAATACAATTTAATGACTGCAATGCATACATATCATTGTATATAAGGTACAGCTAAATAAAACTGCACTCCTTCCATCTGTGTGCCTCCCTGGGTGTCCCTTGGCCAGTCCTACTCTACTCCCTGCCTCATAGGTACTGAGTACTACAGTCGCCCCATGGACATGGGCAGAGACAGTCTAATAAGGGGCGAGGGTGGACGGAAGTGACTGCTCAGAAAGCCATGCCTGGCTGTTGGGAGTGTGCTGCTAGTTTTCTGGCTAGTGCAACCCTGTTCAGTGAATGAGGGTCTGACCTTCTCCCTGCACGCTTCCCTGCCCTAGAGCAAGGCATGAGCAGGCCTCTGTGTGACTTTGCCTGGCCCCGTGGCATGTCATTGGGGACAATTCCATCTCAGACTCCTGCCAACAATTTACCACCAAGTTTACTGAATGGTTCTAAGTCTTTATCCTTTTCTGTGACTCAATTAGGTTTTATTTTTGTTTTGTTTTATTTTTGCAGGCAGAATCTCACTCTGTTGCCCTGGCTATCACAGCAACCTCAAACTCCTGGGTTCAAGCAATCCTACTGCCTCAGCCTCCCAAGTAGCTGGGACTACACGTATGTGCCACCATACCTGGCTAATTTTTTCTATGTATTTTCAGTTGGCCAATTAATTTCTTGCTCAGGCTGGTTTTGAACTCCTGACCTTGAGCGATCTTCCCATCTTGGCCTTCCAGAGTGCTAGGATTACAGGCATGAACTACCTCACCTGGCCGGCTGTCAATTAGCTTTTAAATTTGTAAGTTGGAAGATGGCATATTAAGGAAGTTTGGTCTGATGTCATCTTATCTCTGAAATCCTATTATCCATCATCTGTAATGGAAGATTTTTTTTAATGCATCTATTAAATATCAGGTGCTGTGCTAGGCACTGAGAGTACAGCAATGACTCAAATCTGGCCCCTTTGCCCGGGAGGTGTTTGCAGTATAGGGAGGGGACAGGAGAGGCAAGAAAGCAAACAAGTAACTCTGATCCAGGGCAGGAGAAGATCAGTGCTAAACATGAGTAGGGAGCAGGAAGGCCGGGAGGAGGGAGCAATTGCTGCTGAGGGAGGAACGAGACAAGGCTTTATGGTGAGTTTGCCCGGCCTCGCTCTAGGCCCACAATGGGAAACTACTATGGAAGACATGGCTTATGTCCCCAAAGTGCTGCAAACATTCAGGGCCTGGGCCATGCAGGGGCAGCTGAGCCACTCTGAGGGAAACACTCCCCTCCCCTGGGGCAGTGGGCTGTGACCCTCTGCAGGGGCATGGCAAGAGGGCAGATGAAAGAGGTCACATCAGGCCTAGGGGAAAGCAGCGGCCCAGGATGAGGTGCAGGGGGCCCCAGCCCTGAGGACTTCAAGCCTTCTGGTATTACCCCAGGTGAAATGTTGCCAATGATCAGAGGGGCAAGTGGTGGGTATTTTCCGGTCCCAGCATGGAGAGGCAGGAATATCAGGGCTTGGTTGAGTCCAGACCCAGGAAATGTGAGTGGGGGGTTCTGCTAAAAGTGGAGATGGGAGTAGAACATTTGTTGAGTGCCTTCCAGGTGCAAATATTTATTGAGCATCTACTATGTGCCTCTGCAAATATTTATTGAGCATCTACTATGTGCCTCTGCAAATATTTATTGTGCATCTACTATGTGCCAGACACTGTTTTAGGCACTTGGAATGCAGTGGTAAAACAAAAATTCTGCACCCATGCACAAGTAGACAAGTATTTGATATAATTTCAGTGATAAATAAAGGGAAAAAGAATGAAAGGAGGTGCTATTTTCTTTTCTTTTTTTTTTTTTTGAGACAGAGTCTCACTCTGTTGCCTGGGTTAGATGCTGTGGCATCAGCGCTAGCTCATAGCAAGACTCACAACTCCTAGGCTCAAGAATCCTCCTGCCTCAGCCTCCCAAGTAGCTGGGACTACAGGCATGTGCCACCATGCCCGGCTAATTTATGTCCTTAAAATAAAATTGCCATGAGTGTAGAAAGTGAAGAGATAAAGAAATAAAAAAGGAAACTTAATAGAAAAGGTAGCCAAATATTTGAACAGACACATCACAAAGTAGGAGCTCCAAATGGGAAATATGAAAAAGTACTCAACCTCTCTAATCATCAGGGAAATGCAAAATAAGCCACCCTACAGTAACACATGAGAAGTATGACAGTGTCAACTATATTTTTAGTTGGCTGATTAATTTCTTTCTATTTTTAGTAGAGACGGGGTCTCGCTCTTGCTCAGCGGTGGTTTGGAATCCTGACCGTCCGAGCAATCTAGCCCGTTTGCCTCCGGGAGTTCGCGTCGGAGGTCAGGAGTTCAAAAGCACGCCTGACTCCACACGGGGAGGACGCTGTCGTCTCTTTGACGATTATAACAAAGACTAGAGTGAAGTGAAATACTAGGTAAGAGTCCGTATAAGACTTAGCTAAGAAAAATTTATGATGATTTTTTAGTACTGTTCGGATTATCAGATTCAACGTTTTACTATTCATTTTCTCCCATAGTGTTATCTTGTTTATGAAAAGTTAACAAAGGGGTCTACAGTCAAGATACTCAGGAACAGTGAGAATCCATTCTTCTTGAACTGAATTGGCAGCAAGTGTTCACAGAGAACGTCCTGTGTAAGTTAGCCAGGCTGCACGTATCCTTTTTTTTTGAGACAGAGTCTCACTCTGTTGCCCAGGCTAGAGTGCCATAGCATCAGCCTAGCTCACAGCAACCTCAAAACTCCTGAGGGTTCAAGCGATCCGTCGCTGCCTTCAGACTTCCCAACGCTAGCTGGGGAACTACAGGCATACGCCACCATGCCTGGCTAATTTTTTCTATATATTTTTAGTTGGCCAATTAATTTCTTTCTATTTTTTGGTAGAGGTGGGGTCTCGCTCTTGCTCAGGCTGGTCTCGAACTCCTGAGCTCAAACGACCCACCTGCCTCGGCCTCCCAGAGTGCTAGAATTACAGGCGAGAGCCACCTCGCCTGGCCAGGTGACGAATCTTATTAAAATAGGAAGTGGTGCTCAGGTGCACATGCACGTACACACAAACGAGAAGTTTAGAGGAGGTGATGTGATGTAGGGATGAACATTATGGATTCTGATTTAAAGCCTTGGATGATTCCCTTAATTTTTCTGAACCTCAGTTTCTTCACCTGAAAAATGGTGGCTCCTACCACAGAAGCATTGCAAGGATTAAATGAGAAAATGCACGTAAAACAGCTGGCACAAAGGAAGCACTCAATAAATGTTAAATAAAGTGGGCTTGTTTTTAT